TGTTTTAGGCAGAGATGCAGAAAAGGAGTTCAATCTCGATTTTCTGCACTTGTACTCGAACGCGGCCAGATTCAGGCGTTCAATCCAATCCTCTTTGCTAATAGGAGCTCGCCCCAGCAGTCAGTCTGGAGATCGAACACCCAACTTAGGTCTGTGCCTCCCTTTTTTTTTTTTTTTGGTGGTGGGGGGGGCGGGAGGAAATGTCTCTGGTTCTTTGCATCCTCCGTTCACCGTTTTTTTTTTATATATCGTGAAATAGAACTGCCGACGGTAAACCGTAGGCAGAGAGGGAGAAGGAGAAGAGGACAACAAACGAGGGGCTGTGACAAACTGTTTCGTCGGAGTATATATATATATATATATATTCGGAGGCTCTTGCGCGGCTACCTGTTGTTCCCCGATCACAACGCTCCCTCGTCATGAAGCCATAGTACGAGGTGCTCTCATTCTGGCACGCGCGCGAGAGCATACCACGCATGCCTGCTGATCTCTCTCAGAATCTCCTCCTCCTTCTCCTCCTCCTCCTCCTTCCTCCTTCCTCCTCGTCCTCCTCCTTTCTCTCTGACAGACATATACTCATAACCACATGATCTCTGATCAGTCCATCGATGTAAGGAGAGAGTAGATTGGTCGATTGATCGATTGATCGATCAATAAATACATAACGAGAGAGAGAGAGAGAGAGAGAGAGAGAGAGAGAGAGAGAGAGAGAGAGAGAGAGAGAGAGAGAGAGAGAGAGAGAGAGANGAGAGAGAGAGAGAGAGAGAGAGAGAGAGAGAGAGAGAGAGAGAGAGAGAGAGAGAGAGAGAGAGAGAGAGAGAGAGAGAGCAGTGCTCAGAGGGAGTGTGTTTGCTTTCGCTTAAAAATAAAAAAAAAGCGGAAGCGGTTCCGACAACAGGAGCTCTTCTAGAAAGCATCGATCTTTCTTTGGTTTATTTTCTCCTTTTTCTTCCTCTCCCTCTTTCTCTTCCTCCCCCTCCTATTTCTCCTTCTCCCCGCTTCTCCTCTCTTCTTCTCTTGTCGTGCTTTGCTCTCCATCAGCGCTCGCTGAGCATATTGTTCATGATTATCCCTCTCAATGACTCTTTTTTTTTTTTTTTTTTTTTAATACCAGAAACTCAGCTCATTTTTAAATTTAATACCAGTGCTTGTAAACATAATATGTTCTTGTTCATAAATATTATCTTCCTCGATTGGCAATTACCACGACGAGCTCTTAAAACTTAAAAAGGATCGCCTACCCCATCGTCTATCGTTTTATTTGCGTGGGCAGGACCGTATAATATTTCCCATTCTGCTATCGCTTGCTACTTGGTCCCACGTTCCGAAGTCCCAGGTGGGTTCGACCTTGGGACAGGCATTTTCTTTTCTTTTCTTTTCTTTTTTTTTTTTTCTTTTTTTTTTTTTTCCGGTCATTGAAAAGGACATTCATTTCTTAAGCTCTCTCTCTATATAGCGTCTTCCTTTCCCAGCTCATAGAAAGGAGGGACTCCTAGGGAGAGCAACATCTGGTAGTAAGTAGATCATGAAAAGGAGGAAAAAGGAGGAGGAGGAATAATAATAATAATAATAATAATAATAAGAAGAAGACGAAGAAGAAGGGGAGGAAGAAATCATCATGATGGTGGAGAAAAGAGGGGGGAGAGGGGGGGGAAAAAAATTACCGTCTTCCCCCGAACATAACGGACCCTTAAAATGAATGTATACAAGGTATATTTCCGACTTGAAGGGCTCGGGACCTATGGCAGATGGGGTACTAGGTGCTTTATTGCTTGTCGAGTCCTCTGTCTCAGGTAAGTTGCTTCTTGCCCTCCACCCTTTTATGGATCAAAGGCATATATATATGTATATGTGCAAGTGTGCCGCTTCGGCGGCAGACGGGAGTGTTGGCACTTGGCGCTGAACCACGCAAACTTGGACAACCTTGCATTTTCTATTATATTGTCTATCTCTACTTTTTCGTTTTGGATGTTTTTTTATGATTTGTGGAGGAAATGAGAGAGAGAATTTGGGGTGCTTTAACAACAAACACACACTGTCACACACACACACACACAAAATCAGTTTTATGTCTGTCAGCCTTTCTTCTGTTGTCTGTCCTCCCTCTGATTTTTTCAAGTATTTTTTTGAGTGCCCAACTGAGCACCCTTAAGTAGTGCCAAACAGTCGGTGGTTTTCTCGTTTGGAGTCCCTACTGCAGTCTTAGGGGGGCTGCTTGGTTCAGGATGTCTGTGTTGCCTGTGGGTGATGACGGATACTCTTCGGAGTGACTCCCTGGCTCAGTGGGTGGTGGGAAAGAACAGTCTGCGTGGTTCAATCGTGATGTGAGTAGGTCATGTGCTGCTTTGCTCCGTGTTGGATATGTGGACTGCCTCGTCTGCGCTCTGCCACTGCCTTGCTGCCTGTCCCGCTGGCTTCGTATGTGGTTCTCTGCAGACTGCTGTCACAGTGTTCTCTGCATGGCGTGCCCATGTTGTTGGTGTTGCCCTGCGCTTCGCTGCTCTGCTGCTTTGCCGCTCATTGCCTTCCGTGTTTTCCGCTTGGGTGCCTTAAAGGTTGGTTGGCTTGTTGCTGGTGCCTTGTGCTTCGCTCCACGGTTGCCGAGCTGCTGGTCCGCTCGTCCTGTCGTCCCTTTGCAGTGTGGTTGCCTTGCTTGTGTTGTCTTCTGCTTCACTACATGGGTGTCGCGCCCCATGTCCTGCGTGCCATGTCGTTCCTTGCAGTCGCTTTTGGCGTTGTGCAGCCATGTTGTCTCTACTGTGTTGCCTGGTGCTCCACAAGGTTGCTGCCCGCTGCTATGTTCCGCTAAGGGACAATCTGCCTTTAACAAGGGTCGAAGGCCCACGAAGGGTCCATGATCCAAACCATCGAATACAGAGAGTCCACAGATTGTAGATGGCTTAGCCCCCTGATGAGTGGGGCAACTCTGACACAACAATCTATCATCAGTTGTATTTTTTTCGCCTTGTGTTTTTTTTTTCCTTCTATTTGTTCTTTTGTCTGCCTTGTTGTCTTGTTGCCTTGCTGCTTCTTGACTTCCTGTCCGTTCTTTTCTTGCTTTAAGTTAGCGTTGTTTGTCTGCCCACCCGCCTCCCCCATGCCCTCCAGCGGCCCAGCCTACGTTCCTTGCTGTTGCTTCACCACCCTAGCGCTACTTCTTGACTTGTTGTTGCCGCCTCATTCTTCTGCCTAGTGCTGTTTGTCTACCGCCCCGCCTCCCCCATGCCTTCCACCCTTTGTTCTTTGCTGCGGCTTGTCGTTCAAGCACCGCGTTGCGTCTTGACCTTAGCCTTGCGATTTTGGTTGTCTTGTTGTACTTGTCGTACCGCTGATTGGTTTGGTTTTTTGTTTTTTTTTTGTTTTTTTTTTTGTTTCATGGCTTTTGAAAGCTGGGCATTATAAGCATTATTTTCTATGGGCATCCCGGGCTGCAGGCTCTTTCCTGGCGTTGTTTATAAGCACACCTTCCGACGCAACATGCTGCGACACGGTTACAGAAGCCACGCAATGGAAACAGCACACACACACACACACACACACAAATCTTGGCTGCCACGTGGCAGCCCACACCAGTGCCGTACCCCCGTTCACCGTTCACAGGGTCGGTGAACGCGGGTAGGCCCGTGGTCATGGTGGTAAAGTTCAAGGAGTTCACACAGAGTGGGATCTTTTTTTTTTTGTTTTTTTTTTTTTGGCTTGAGGAAGGTGTTTTGTTTTTTTATAGGAGGGTGGGGGTCATCGGATTGTCTTGTAGGTTATTTCGATTTTTTTTAATATTTTTTTTAATGTCATCACGCTGTGGGGCTTGAAGCGACTGTACCTGAGTGAGCCCCCCCCCCCCATTTAAAAAAAAAACGGTTCACAGGCGCAGGGTCATATGACTGGCCGGTCACGTTCTCGGTGACGGCACTGGCCCACACACATGTGCCGCACCCGTCTCTCTCTCTCTCTCTCTCTCTCTCTCTCTCTCTCTCTCTCTCTCTCTCCCTCTCCTCCTGTTATGGCAGACCTTGGGGCTGAAATCCCTTCGAGGACCGTTTCATCCCTGCAGGACAGGAGGGCCGGTGGCCTTTTCCAACCCCGCACTGGGAATCCCCACAATGGGTGAGCTGGGCCATTGAAGGCTTGAAGCCCCTTATTGTAAAAAAACAGCCATTACCCCCCTCCTACCCCCTCTTTAGGCCTTCAGGACAGGAGGGCCGGTGGCCTTTTCCAACCCCGCCCCGGCAATCCCCACAATGGGTGAGCAGTGGGCCATTGAAGGCTTGAAGCCCCTTAGTGTCAAAAAACAGCCATTACCCCCCTCCTACCCCCTCTTTAGGCCTTTGCCACGGGCTGGTCGAGATGTTCGGATGGGACCTTTGGGGGCCTGGGCATAAATACCCTGTTCATTGAGCTGGGGTGCTCATAGGGTTGGCGACTGTGAGGTGGCGAAAAGCAAAGGAAGAAGCCTGAAGGTTGAAGGAGGGAGGTATCGAAGACATTGTCACTATTGACTCACATTTTTTTTTTTTTTTTAATTTGTCACTACTCACTAGAGTTTCAATTTGCATTTTGTTTTTAATAACTGCATTAAATTTTGTGACTGTGTCTCCAATTTTGTCCCTTTGCTCCTTCTTTCTCCTTCATAATTGTACCAGACTAGTAGACTACCAGTAGATGCCATAATCAAGCACCAAGCCTGAAAGAGGTTGTTCATACAGTCACTGTCACAGTCACTCATTGCTGTGCACCATGTGCAGTGTCCCTCTTCAACGGAATGAATATGACTCATAATGACTGGAAGAAAGCTGTCTGACTTTGAGGACCTGGTGTGATTATGTTGGTGGATAACTGTGCTGTGCTGTCGATCGCCAGAGTGACCCGCTCTCCTTCAAGTTACAGTCAACATGGGTTTAATGAACTTTAATCCTATGGCATTGGCAAGCAATAAACCCTAAACCCTAAACCAAAGAAGGCTCTGAGTCTGAACTAAGATGGTCAGGGATTCACAGATTCACCCGAGGGCCAAGGCAGTGTCATTAATGTGGTTGAAGATTTGAAGTCATTGGCAAATTTGGCAAATTTGGTTGGTTAACACGTCGACTGGTTTGCACCAGCGAATTAAAAGAGGAAATGCAGGCTCCAATCATGGCGCTTGTGGCTGTGACATCCATTTTGTCGGCTGTTAGTGTCATTATTCTTTTCAATGTTTTCATAATGTCGGGCACTAGTAGACGCATCGCGTGGAATGACAGCAGTCCCTCTTTCGACAAGGTAAGCGCCGTCCGCAACAGGCGACTCCAAGGACAACAAAATTCCATCCAGATACTTGATGATGTTCTCATCGCACACCACGGTGCTGTCGTTTCGAGAACCGAGAAACCTGCGGTGGGGACCGCCGCCTGTGCTATCCATGCTCTTACACTTTCCTTGGATGAAAACACGATCTACTATACTGAATCGTGCAGAGAGGCGGTCAACTTGAATGGCTCCGAGTCGGCCAATGCTACGCTCTACACTGACAGTGACAGGTCGACTGTGAAGAAGGCAGAGTGGATAGCCGGCGTGAAGGGTTACAAAATCTCACAGATTGCTGAGCCATGGGCCGCACATACCACTGAGACCAGTACTAGAGGGATTGCTAACAGCTCTGAGTCAGACTTGGGAGGACTGTGGGGACTGCTGACATTGGATGCCACACATTTGCTTGTGTCCAGTAGGGACCACAATGTTCTTTGCCGTATGGATGTCACTTCAGGGCAATGCGAGAACATAATGATGTTGACGTCGCCGATGCAAATGGCTAAACATCCAACGGATAATCTCTTATTCGTATCGTTAACCGATCGCATTGTTACGGTCGACTTTCGTCAATCTTGGTCTCAAACGATCGTTACGATACTCGCCGGTCCGACGACCAATCAGGAAACACTGGGCTATCAGGACAGTCCATCCCGGGAGATGGTACGGTTTGGTAGTCCTCTGATCGACCCGCAAGCTGTCTCGCAGGATGGGAGGTGGTTATACGTCGCGGATCAAGCGAACAATGCAGTGCGGAAGGTGAGCACTTCCACAGGTGCGACAACCACTGCAGCAGGAGGCAGAAATGCCACGATAACTGCTGATGGGGGATTCAATAGATCGAGTGGCATGGTTCTGACGTCAAACGGGTGCAACCTATTCATCTCTGAAGGCAGTGGAAGGCTCCACCTTGTAGCCCTCCAACGACCTTCGGGTTATGTTGTTGGTATCAAGACAGTGGCGAATATACGAAAACCGGACGGTTCACCGCAGTGGATCAGCAGTATGATTCTTTCGATGGACGATCAGCGCTTGTTTCTCGCCACTAACGATGGACAGATTCTAAGTCTTCACTTCAATGTTTCTGCACTTCAAGCCTGTGACAGCTGCAATGCCACACAACTCACCACAGCAGGAGGCCCTGCCGCCGCTGCCGGTGCTCGATACAAGAAAGCGGGTGCCCTTGTCGGCTTAGCAGTGGGGTTGGGGTTGTCCGTCTCGATTCTGTGTATAGTTGCTGGCGCTGCTGCGGCCGTGTTCTTCGGCAAGGCCCGATGCTGCACCTACTACCAGAGAGGATCGCAGACTGCACTCCCTGCCAAAAGCACACACCGGAGCGACGAGCGGAGTGATGGAGCACAAGCTGGAACCGTTACAGATGAAAACACGATGAACGATAACTTAAAACCAGGGCAGTGCCGCTCCTCGATCTCTGTACCGGCTGTTTCACTGAGCGACATAATAATTCCTGAGAGCACCGTTTCTCCCCGGACTGACGACAGTCGTAGTAGTAAGGAACCATTGCTGGCGAATAGCATCTGGGAGTTTCCACTCAGCATGATGGAGTCAGTTCTGGCAGATGAATACACAGTGACTGTGAGGAGTGGTGGATTTGGGGATGTGTACAAAGCACGCATGGATATAGGAGGGAAGCAAATGGATGTAGCCATCAAGGTTATGAGAGGAGAAATCAACGAGCAAAATTTCCGGCAGTTTAAGGCAGAGCTGATTGCCCTCTCAAGTGCGAACCACAAAGCGATCTGCAGGTTGTTAGGAGTCTGCACAGAGAGAGATCGCTTTATCCTTGTCTACCCGTTTGTAAAGGGTGGCTCCCTGTTTGATAGATTGCACAATCGCATGTCAGGGGCACGGGCAGGGGTAGGGGTAGGGGTAGGGTACTCGGAGCAGGGGCACCAGCATGTGAGCAAGGTAGTAGGATGGACAAACAGGATGACAGACAATGGAGACCGTTACAATGGCGGGAACGGATGCTCATTGCTCAACAGATAGCAAGCTGCTTGCAGTACCTTCACCACGGATTGCCACAGCCCATCCTGCATCGTGACGTGAAGAGCGCCAATGTGTTGATTGACATAGACGGCAAGGCTGTTAATGCATATCTCACTGATTTTGGGGTTTCCAAGATACGAGAGAATGGACTCGGAGTTGGAAAACCAGGCTATACAAGTCTGCCGACATCGACTGTCTCCGGGACTCCAGGATATCTGCCGCCGGAGTATGCTCAACAGCACAAGCTGACGATGTCATGTGATGTTTTTGCCTTCGGTGTTGTTCTTCTGGAGCTTGTGACGGCTCATGCGGCATTCGTAAGAGGCAAGCCGCTGTACTTGTGGACACGAAAGCAGTTGGAAGGTACAAAGTTTAAGGGGGGGGTCATAATGGATTCAATTTGGCGACAGAGGGGTGGACCTACCATCGATCCCAACGTTCATCAGGAACAGCGTCTGGGGGGTGCACTGCCAGCCTTCGCTCCTACTAATATTGAGACCATCATTGACCCAGCATTGCCAGACAGATGGGCCCATTGGCAGAAAGAGATGGCTAGTGAAGTTGTGAATCTCGCACTTCGGTGCACAGATTCTCTATTGAATAGGCCTTCATCTAAAATAGTGTCACAAGAACTGGATAGGATTATCGCAAATAGAATGGAACGCCTCCAAGAATAGAATAGAAAGAAACGTCGAGCTAAACAAATAGTCCGTCCCCGACAGCCCTCCTCCGCCCCCCCTGCCCACCACCCCCCCAAGCCTCTTTTGACTGACCTACATTTTCCCCCATGCGCCCACCCTATAGCCCACCCTATAGGCCACCTTATAGCCCACCCTATAGCCCAGCCTATAGCCCTATGTACTAAAATTATGAAGACATTGCCCCACCCGATAGCCCACCTTGATTGAAGCTGGCACCGGGCACAGCGGCCACCTTGTACATGGCCGCTTCGCTCTCTCGAGGTAGTTGAACGCCATTGTAAGAGAGGCACCGCTGTAAGTTACGGTCATCTGCTTACCGTAGCAGGCAAAGTAATGGATACTTACTGCAGTCATTGACAATGTGAGATTGCAGTACTAAGCTACCATCACTAGCTTACGGCAACAGATAGGGTGGGCTATAGGGTGGGCTATGGGGCGGTGGGCTATAGGGTGTCACTGAACTATAGGGTGGGCTATAGGGTGGGCCTGCTTGATTCTTCTTCTTACCTGTGGCAGACTGCCATCAATAACAATCAGGTTACTAGATTTCAACATGTCCATAAACAGAGTCTTTTTTCTTCTTCTTCTTCTTCTTCTTCTTCTTCTTCTTNTTTTTTTTTTTTTTTTTTTTTTTTTTTTTTTTTTTTTTTTTTTTTTTTTTTTTTTTAAGTTGGGGGCTTCTTGTTGTACATCATTAGTCCTGAGCTGCCACGGAAGAACATAATCCAGATTTTTATTTTTTTTTTATTTTTAATCCAGAATTCATGTACTGTTAGAAACGGCACAAGATGATTCCTCGGATATAGTAATCATAAGGTCCACTGCAACAGAAGAATTTGATATTTAATTTAGGAAATGGAAATTACCCGCTAGTAGGCGGGACTCAGCAAGTTTTCCGTTCATTTGCATTAACTAACAACAACAGCATTTTCTAAATGACTAGTAGTTAGTCTAGCTGACTGCCACGTTTTTTTTTTTTTTTTTAAATCCACCTGCAAAAACAGATAGGAATGATGATCAAATTGGCATTGTCGATATTTTACGCTGTCCAGATGGCGCCTGGAACGCTCGGGGGCGCTGCATCTCTTCTTCTAGTATTGTTATTTCCATCGGGCGTGCAAGTGTGCTTTTCCGTGAGCCGATCTTCAAGACGAAACATGTCCAAGCAGCAGTGGACACACACTGCCAGAGGCATAGTAGAAGGGTGTGAAGTAAATCAGAGGGCCACTGGCAGGGAGAAGGGCGGAAGAGAACTGATGGTGTGAGTCGGTTGAGGTATTAACATCCTATTAAGGCTTCTGTGGCTCTTAAACCAGCAGTACACGCCTCACATCGGCCGCGCGGTCGTGTCAGAGGCCGAAACACGCCGGCGGCCCCCAATTTCTTTTCTTGTATCGACTACGCAGCCAGGGGTGCCCACTTTTTTCGGATGGGCGACGAGTTTCCTTTCAGCAAGGCTGGGGCCATGTACTTGGGGTCTCGTTCGACACCACTTGAACTCAAGGGTTGAAGGAAAATTCTTCGTTCGACCTCACCCTAACCTGGCCGCGGAGTTGTTTCTACTCTCTGGCTCTCTAGTGCTAGCCCTCGAAACACAAGTGCTGCTGGGGCAAATTCGCACTCGAGCTCAAGGTACCTCTCCCGGGAGCCTTGAGTTCAAGTGCCAGCGGATACTGCCAGCACTCCAAGTGGGGCTTTTTTTTGTTTTTCTTTTTTTTCCAAAAGGCGATCCTGGTCCAGGATTGGTCAAGCCGTGGAGTTTGGTTTCAAGTGCGGCCGTTTCAAGTATTTTGTGAAGTGCACATGGAACGGAGATTGCAGTAAGTATTTTTCAATCACTATTTTTGGGTTAGGGCGCACTTGAGACTCTAGGGTTCTCTAGTGGTGTCAGACCCTTGGTGGTGCAATGCAGCAAGGAATGTGTCCCTCCCCGGCATCGCTGTAAGCCAGTGCTGTATATAATGGTTACTTACTGGTTAATTATGAACATATGGGATTGCATCGTTTGCATGCTCAATCCCAGACCGAGTCCTGTCTCAATACATAAATGGGGGCCATTATGGTCTGGGGGCCATTATGGTCCTTATGGGGGCCTTATGGGGGCCATTATGGTGCTTATGGGGGCCATTATGGTCCTTATGGGGGCCATTATGGTCCTTATGGGCCTTTCTAGGGTACCGTTATGATCATAATGTCGATGATTTAACAGGCTTTCAGTTAGCCTAGGGAAAGTCAGCAAGCATTCATACTACCCTCTTCACCCGAATATAATGCCCGGTCATTATAGCCCTATTTGGGGCCATTTTCTGTCCAGATGCACCGATGGTGACCGGGCGTTCTATTCGGGTGAAGACGGTAGGCTGAAAAGGAGACCAACTCCTGAGGTTCGTAGACTCTGACACTAAATCGACTCAAATTTTATTATTATTATTATTATTATTATTATTATTATTATTATTATTTTTGTGAAATCGACTCAATCGAGTATACTATAGGGTTCATGAAGACTACAAAAAAAATAAAAAAAATAAAAAAATAAAAAAAATCATGAAGAGTATCATATCAGCTCGGAATCGGATGGTGAATTACCAAAACAGGTAAGGTAGCAGTTCAGTAAACTTTAAGGGCCTCGCTCCACTACTCTGGACAAGCACAAAAGATAAAAATCATGGCGGTGCATCTTTCCATGTTCTCGGGGAACATTCACTCTCGTATTGCACATTTCCAGAGTAGTGTAGCCAGGCCCTAAGGCAGTTCTTTTCTTCGAAGTGGGTAGGCTAGCCCGTGACGTTGTTGTGTCCATTTGATTCCGTTCGGAGTCAAGCTCTCGACTTGTCATTAACAGACAGTTAGTACCTGTGTGTACCATACACAACATGATGGGATGGGTACTAGAAGTACACTAACTTAAAAAGTCGTACAGGACATAATTAGTATGAGAAGTAACGGCGGACATGGCATGTTTTTGAAAGTTGAAACCCAAAAGGCAAAGAAAAACTCGCGCCGGCAAAGAAACCACACACCTAGTTGAACTCGAAATGAGCGATTTCGGTCCACAAGTATCCAACTTTCCATTGGGCATTTTCTTTTTCTTTTCTTTTCCCCTCTGAGGCCACGGCCGACCCCTGTAACTATGACACCCGCCGGTCTGACAGACTGACACCACGGCCGTCGGTACTTCTGTCGCCTTTTCGAACTCGGCGTGGTTTTCTTTGCCGACGCGTGTTGTTTTTTAAACTTTTTTTGCCCATTCGATAGTACTCAAACTTCAATGTGACGCGAACGCACTTACCCCTCTAATTATGACCAGGGGGAAAGAGTGTGACTTGTTCCTAGACAGAGCACTTCAGCCTGAGGGCAGATAATTTAGTGACTCAAGCAGGCAAGTTAGAGGCTCGCCACACAGGCTGTCGAAAACCCGGTTTTCGACAATTTTGCATCGCCACACAGACTTTCGAAGATGTCAGGATGGCACTTTCGACAGCCGCCCTCCAGCAACCGTTTCCTCCAGCCTGCAGGTGATGGAAATTCCACAGTGGCCCGCCCACCTTTCGAAAAATGCCTCCGATTTTCCATTCTCCTGGACTGCTCCCTGACAGTCGTTGCCTGTTTGTCCGTATGTAGTCAACAGTTGCTGTCGAAAACGGAATCGGCATCTCGTCCACTTGCGCGCACAAATTCATCCCTGTAACAACTCCGTACAGGCCACCTCGCCCCTCGACAGGCTATGTGGCGAAGGGGGGCAAAACTGTCGACGGCCCGACTGTTGAAAATTTTCTGACACCTGTCGAAAATTTTTGACATTCGACAGCCTGTGTGGCGAGCCTCTTAAACTTGTAGAGATGAAGACAACCACGACAATAGGGGTGGAAATTGTTTAATAGAGCTGAGTCAGAGTTTGTTGTCCCACTGTGACAGTGGTGGTAAATTGGTAAATTACTCCTTTTTTTTTTTTTTTTTTTTTTTTTTTTTGGGAATGTACTTGTTGATTGGTTGGCAACTTGGCAGGGCAAAAAAGAACTTTGTCAGGATGGGAACTTCATTCAAGTTGCAATGTTTTGTCGCTTGTTGTCATATACAATTTTTTTTTATTATTATTATTTTTTAATATATACATTAAATTTTCTCAAGGACTGCACTGTAACACTTACTACTGTAACAGGACTTCCCTGAAATTTAATATAGCTGCAACACTGTCACTGCAGTTGTTTTAGAGTAGAACGGCCATAATCATGATTATGATAGGCTTTGTGCGTGAGGGATGTCTATGGCAGCATAGGCTTGCCTAAGCTTCAAAATTTTGCCTCACAGTCTATGATGGGTCTAGCTCTAAAATGTATCCGAATGGTGGGCCAATCCGGCCAATCCGGCCAATCCGGCCAATCCATCTGTTTGCCCTGGTCACCTCGACATGACCTCGTGCTTCCCTTTTGCTCCATGGCTTACAGCACAAGTTAATGCGCAAGGAATCAAGGATCACATCATGCTGACCAAATCTCTCTCTCTCTCTCTCTCTCTCTCTCTCTCTCTCTCTCTCTCTCTCTCTCTCTCTCTCTCTC